GAGTTCTATAATTTAAATTTGCTGTGATTTGGGAAGAATATCCTTTTTTCTATTGCTCTTTAACCAAAAATATACTCTGATGATATACACTTGATGGCATTCAAGACACTGACTAAACCTGGAGGTTGTGGAATGTGGTTATACACCCTGCTATAAATTCCTAGATGATAAGGAGCAAATAATAGTCCTGCTATTCACCTAAGGAGAGATACTTTTTAAACTGAGGATAAAAAGGGAAGATGAGACAATTTTAATTGCTCTGACATTTAAATGCTTTATAAAATTCCAATTTTCAAATGTGAAAGACATGTAATATATAATATATGCATTAAAAGTCTGACATTGCCTATTTTTTAATTTTGAAGACTAATTCTGAACTGTCTTAATGTTTTCTGTTAAATCTGGACTTTTCTAAGAAATCAAAGTCAGGCACTTTGAACCCTGATCCAACAAATTGTCTAGGCTCTACCATGTGTATATTGGGAAAGAGATCCAGGAATTAACCCCCAACCTCAATGACAAAGGGCTGAATGCTGCTTCACTGATAACTGGCAAGTTTCTTGCTCAAAAAGGAGCATCTGGGCAGATTCTTTGTTTATTTATTCATAAGGATTTATTATGTTCTTACTAAGTGCCATTTTCAAGGCCAGATGTTGGGGATTCAAGTATTGTCACTGTCAGCTCAGGCTTAAAGTCCAGTGAGACAGAAGCACTGCTATACATAATTATTATAAAGTGAAACAAGTATTAATGATAGAGGGCTTCCCCAAATGGCTCAGCAGTAAAGAACCCACCTGCAATGCAGGATCCCTGGGTCGGGAAGATCCCCTGGAAGAGGAAATGGCAACACATTCCAGTATTCTTGCCTGAAAAATCCGACGGACAGAGGAGCCTGGCAGGCTACAGTCCATGGGGTCGCAAAGAGTCAGACACGACTCTTTGCAATAATGATACAGAAAACTCAAGGCACTATGGGAACCTATAGTGATCTAGAGGTCAGAGAAGACTCTCCAGTATACAGTTTAAGCTGAGTAGGGTGAGTAGGAATGGCAATGGAAATGATGTCCAAGGTAAGAGGAACAATCTGTGAAGGACAGGAAGACAGAGCCTGGAGTCTGTGGAGGCATGGTCTGAAAATAGACTACTAATGCTAAATAAAGATAATTAGTCAATATTATGGAGGCTTTGCAAATCATATTAGGAATTCAGACTTTTTCTAGTAGGTAGCTAGGAAGCCATTGAGAGGTTTTATGCAGAAGGTTTGCATGATCTGGTATGCATTTTATAGAGAGAATTCTGGCTACAGGAGACCAGTTAAGGAATGATATAATAGTCAAGATTAAAATTAATAGTAATTTCTACAAAGATATTGTTGGTGGACATGGAGAAATTTAGGAATGAGTATTAATTGTTGTTTAGTCACTAAGTCATGTCTGACTCTGCAACCCCATGGACTGTAGCCCGCCAAGTTCCTCTGTCGATGGGATTTTCCAGGCAGGAAAACTGGAGTGGGTTACCATTTCCTTCTCTGAGTATTAATAGGACATGGTGATTAACTGGATATTGAGAGTAAAGTAAAAGATGCCTAGGTTTTTGGCTTAGGAAACTGAGTGGATGGTGATGCCCTAAGTAGTATGGGGACTATTTAAGTAGAAAAAGGGGATTTGCAGTGTTCCATTTTGGACAAGCTGAGTTTGAAATACCCTTGATATACTCAAGTAGAGATGTCAAACAAAAAGTTGACTGCATGAATCAGGAGATCAGGAGAGAGCATGGTGAACCATATTTAGAGATATTTGGTTAATTAGCATATAAATGGTCCTTGAAGCCCAGAGACGAGGCACACTAAAGAAATTTGCTAGAATGACAGAAGATAGGGGTCAAGGATAGAGTCCTAAGAAACATCATCTTGTGAAGGTTGCCAGAGGGATTTCTCTGGCAAGAAAATGAGGTTTCAACAGACTTCAGGAAATGGGCAGCATGTGACCACAATCTAACTCACGATGATAAGATAAAGTGTCTGATATGATGCTTTGGGTTAGAGTGTCAGTTGATATCTAAATATAGTTTTCAAGCCAGATTCCAACTCAAAAAAAAAACATCTCTTGAGCTTCTCTGGATGTGAAGAGTGCTCTCAGCCTGACTATCTCACTAATGTTATTACAGTTTTTCCTTTTCCTTCCCTTCTTTGGTAATGCTCTATCCAGGACATGCTTCCCTGGTAACATGCCAGGCATGAGCAACTTGAAGACCGCCCTCACTTTATTCTTAGATAATATTCTCACTCATATTATAGAAAAAGGAAGTTTTATGATGGGGTAGTTGGAAAATAAAGTATCTTCTTACTCCAGCCATAAGCTATAATTAGAAAGGCCAGAAATACCCTAAGTAGTAATTGAACACTCATTTTTCTAACAAATCCCATAAAACTTAATTAAGGCATGCAAAGATCCTGATAAAGATTTATAAAGGTACACCAACAATGAAATAGATGCTCTTGTTTTCTTCTCTGTGCTTCCAGTCTGTATCACATCCACTTACACATGCTGTCTTTTCGTTTTAGGAGAGAAATGTTAGAATCATGACATAGTAAATCTAAAAGTCTCTCAGAGAGAGCCTCTAATCCAAGCCCTCTCTCCACCACCCTTTGCCCAATTTAGAGATGAGTAAAGTGAAGCGCAGGATGAGGGCACTAAGAACTTACACTTGCATTTTGCTATTTATTTAAATAAGTGTTTACATTCAAGAGACAATTGATTATACTGGTGAAGATCCCAGGCTCTTGGAATTGACTGGGTTTGAATCCAGTTCTGCACAAGTCTTGGGGAAATTTACTTAGCCTCTCACTTCCTTAGCTTCTTAATTATAGTATCTACTATATATCTATAGTATATCATGGGTGTTGGTAGACAATTCTCCATAGGTTTCTCATGTTTCTGCCTGTTGTTTCAGGCAGAAATGCTGACTACTTTTGTTCTGAATACTTTTTCCAAGTTTGTCTATGTGGATAACAGCCTTGAAAGACAGAGATAGCCTCTGCCTCCAGAGCAATGAACAGGTTTGCTTACTGTCCAGCAAATAAAGCTAATGTCTACCTGTGGAGCAATAGTGAGTTATACTTACTCTTCAGGATAAAGATTTGGGTTTCCTAATCTCAAGATTCCTCTCCTTTAACACAACCTATGGCATGTGCTGGCATTACCTGGCCTTCAAAGAACTCCAAAGAAGGACCTTGGTCTCTGACCAAGGAGTCTCATCTTTCACAAACAACGATGCAATTGTGGCAGGCACATTCATTAACTTCTAAGTAGGGTAAAACCTCAGACTCTTCTTAATAACAGTAAGAAGTTGTAAAGAAATTGTATAAGTGAATAAAGCAAAGAGCTTAATAGAGTATCTGGCACATAAAGACTAAAAACTGAGTAAATGTTGGTTGTTAATGTTATTTTATAAATATATTTGCCAAATGTATGTGTTGTTTTTTTTCCTCTCTTTTTTAGCCAAGCCATGTGGCACACAGGATCTGTTTTCCAGCCAGGGATCAAACTCCTGCTTCCTGCATTGGGAGCATGCAGTCTTAACCACTGGGCCACCAGGGAAGTCCGAAATGCATGTGGTTTATTAGTGGCAAGCAAAAGGTCAGGACTAGAATCTAGAGCTATGAAAACTCAGTCTAATGTTCTTTTCGCCTCTCTGTTCTACCAATATTAAATATTTTTTGCATATTTAACTTACAAATAATGTTAAAAAATAATATAATCTAAGAGAAATAACTGGAATTTTATACCAACTTGTTTGGTGAATACACTAAAAGTATTGTGAGAAAGGCAATAAAGCTGGTGGTTCCAGATCCCTATATACAGCATTAAAGTGTTATTTGAGAAGAGTGGCCTAAATCATGGCAAGCTCTAACACAGAGAAAAAAATAATTTGCTCAGAAATACATTATGAGCAAAACATTATAAAGTTTGAAAACTACCCAATAATGATCAACATTGTAGTATGTCTACTTTTATTCCTGGAAATCCACTACTGTTTTTTTTAAAAAGCTCAAAGTAAATTTCTATAATGTATATGTCACAGAATCTTGGGAACAATGGTTCTCTAGTGCTGATTGTCGGATTTTGAAACATTTCCCTAAGACATTTTCTATAAGCATAGTTTACGATTTGGTACCTGTGCTACCACAGGAATAAAAGCAACTAATATTAATCAAATACCTGCTTTTAAGCTGACTCACTGTTTTGCATGTTATCATTTACTTAATCTTTACAATAATCCTGTGTGGTACAAATTATTAGCAACTCAGTTTATTGATGAGAAAATGATGCATTGAGAAGTTATCCAAGTTTACACACACTAAATTAACAGATTCAAGATCTAATAGACTCAAGTGAACCAAAGTCTGATGACCAGGAAACCTTGCTTCATTAAATTCTAGTTCTATTGCCATAAATCTATAGCTGGATTTACTAAGTATATGAATGTGGTAACATGAAACACTAAAATAAAGAAACTAGACTTTTTACTCCAACAATGAAACAGTTCAATAGTGTTCATGATAGACCAATAATTGCAAATCACAAATCAATCCTACTCCTTTAAAAAGCTATTCATGGACAGCCTGGTCCTAACTATGCTCTTGGATACAATGTGAAGCTTTTGAATAAATACAATTCTCTAATTCAATATTAAAATAAATACAATTTTATAAATCAACCAGTCTTCTTCCAGAGATCCTTGAAGATTATAATTTTACCATAAATCAAATACTACATAAGAAAATCATCTTTTACAAAGTTCTTTATTTCCCTCTCTCCCCGCTTCACTGCTCACACATCTGAACATCATTTCCAGTTGTGAAAAGGTTAAGATCAGTGTGTAGTTCGACTAATGTTTGAATTACAATGCTTCCAAAAAAATTCAAATTTTCTCCAGCATTGTCAATTCATTTTTAGTTACTTCTCTTTCTGATTCACTCAATTCATGAGCTCTTTAAAACACTTTGTCCCCCTATGTGGGTGTCTTCTTCATTATTTCCTGAGTTCTGTTCTTTATCCTTAAGTCAGTCAAACATAGCAGTTCCATTAAAAAAATAATAATAATAAGATTTCACCTGTTCTGTTTTCTGCAGAGCACTTTATACTTCTGAAAAGCAGCATAATCTTCTATATTCTGATCAGCACTTGCTATAACAGCTCCCCCTGAAGCAAAAGGAACTAGTATAAACAACATGCTGAATGCTCAAAGTGGGGACTAATTCTAGCCAGATGCCCAGCTGGAATATTTGACTACCTCCTTTATGTAACTTTAGTTAACATTTATGTAATTTTAGGGATTTCAAAACCTCTGTATGTCTCCAGATCTTCTGAACATTGATTTGCCATGATCCTTGTTCAGCACAGTTTAGAGAGGCAGGGCCTTGTCTTTGGTTGGTAAAACCCCATAATTATGGTATCAACTTGGGCTCTGAGGACAGGGTGTTTTGCTATGTAGCAAGGAAGAGCATATCAGAGATGAACTAGCATCCAAGCACAGGACGGCATCATGCTAGGGAGGTCCAGAGCGCTGCAGGGTATGGGAACTCGGGAGATGTATTTGTTTTCCTACGTGTCTATCACTGGGACAAGCACCGCTACTGCTGCTGCTAAGTCGCTTCAGTCGTCTCCGACTCTTCACAACCCCATGAACTGCAGCCTACGAGGCTCCTCTGTCCATGGGATTTTCCAGGCAAGAGAACTGGAGTGGGGTGCCATTGCCTTCTCCAGGGACAAGTACTGAGGGGATAATAAAAACAATAAGATGTAGACTCTGCCTTAAAACACCTTTTATCTAAAGGGGAGATTAAGTCCACACAAGTGAAGTAGAACATTGTATACAATTACTATATTAAGTCTTATAGACAAGACTGTTAGTGCTCAAAGGTGGGACACATTAAATACTTTAAGGTTATTAACTGCCTTCTCTAGAGATGGCAAGGATGAATTAAAGAGAAGAAAGAGAGTGAAGAGCAACGAGAGTGGTCACGGCAGGAAACAGCAGTGTACCGGCAGCACACTCCACTGACAGAGGCGTGTGCGGAAGCAGTTCTGAAAAGATCAGGCAAACATATTTTCAGCACAAAGTGGTTCTGAGCTGGGGACATCTTAGAAGGGAGACTTGGAGTCCATGACCAGTCATGACTCATACAGACTCTAATTCAGTTCCTGCATTTGGAAAAGCAAATTAAATGGAATTTGCTTATTTCCCTCCTAATTTATAATGTGTTTGACTCCATTCAATTATAGTGGGTATTATCTAAAAGTATATATTAGGTGCCAATGTTAGCACAGCACTGAGGACTGAATTAATAGAAACCCATCAACACTGTTCTTGCCCTGTGTGGATCATCATAGTATTAAATTGTAACCAAAGGAAACACTGATAATGGGAATAACATCAGCACATTTGTTATAACTGAAAAGGAGTGGCTGAAACATTTGTGTTTTCAGTGACTTTTTCTTTGTCTTTTGCCCTTCTCAAAGTTTTTATCTCTTCTCAAACTTCCTGAGCGAATCTTGGCAGAAAGTTTAGCAAGCTATATCTAAGAGGTGGTAACATAGTGGCATTTAGGGATGTGGGAAATCTTGAGTTTGGCCTACTGGAATCCTGAAGAGATAACTACTTTACGGAGGAAAGGCCAACTCTATTCTTGGAAACATTTCACAGATAAATGCCAATGTCATTTATGTTACAAAAGAACCAGATTGTTCAATATGGAATAACTCAATTGGTTAGAGGGAATATTTCAAAAGAATAAAAATAAAGGATTCAGGGAATTTTTATCTTTTTCTCTGAGAATTTACTGCCAACACTGCCATGTAGATGAATCTACTCTTAATTTTAAAAAAATTAGCCTCAGCACAAACTGAAAAAGTTTAAGAACCGAAGCTGCTCCTCTCAACTTTGACTTTTTGTTTTGCTGTTTAATGCAGAATTTTGGATTACCTCTGGATTCAGTGTAATGAAGACTCATCTGCTGTAGTGACATCTACAAGAACAAACGACTTGGAAATAACTTACTGGCTTATAGGGAGTCATCTACAACTATAACTTTGGAGGTAAATAAGGCATGATGTTATTGCTTGTTTTATTTGTTATCCAGGTTTTTTTTTTTTAATGAAAACTCATGTTGAATAAGAACTCCTTTACTGTGAAAGCTTTGGTATTAATATAATTGACTGGGACTTGGAATTTTATGAAAACACCCTTTTACCTACTCTTGCTTTGAATATGTGTATTCATTTAATGCTTAGTTGAGAATTTAGGATCTTGTTCACCATTGTTCTTTAGGGTGCTTTGAAGAAAATTTCATTGTATGAATCCATGAAAGGTATTAACATCTAATATCTTGGCTGTTTTATGAATACTTACATTTTATGAATATGCAAGGTTGTTTGAAATTTATCTTTTCCATTTTATTATCTTAAGTAGAGATTTCTCTATTGAAAAGTATAAAGCTACACAGATTGGAGAAACACATCAAGGGAGAAGGATGTCCCAATGATTTAGTAGGTATATTTTCTCCAGACATTAAAGAGATGATGTATTAGACAGTTCCTGGAACATGGCTAGAGCTTGACAATTATTATTTTTGGTTGATGACATGGTTGCCCTTCACAGTCAGAGGTGAACACAGGATGTGAAAAGTAAACAAAGTCTGAAAGAGCAGCTTGTGCTGTAGCATTTAATATTCTTTCTCTGTCAGCACTGACCCAGCTTGTTTTTCTAAGGGCCTGCAGTGTGGTGAAGCATCAGGAGGGAATAATGGACTGTCTGAGCATGGGAAAACAGAAAAGAAAGATGATATCTGAAGTGGAAGTGAGGCTCAGAATTGGAAGCCAAAGTGTACATTGTCAGTTAACTACTTGGGGAAAGTGACATAATCTGTGAGACCAAAAAAAAAAAAGACATAGGGAAAGAAGAAGTGGAACCTAGATAAAAGGACAAACTGTATACACTATTGGCTTCTCCAATATCAGTTCTGTGCTCCTAGCTCATGGCTGGGAACAGGGTCCTGAGGGCATCCAACCACTACTTACTCACCCTGAATAACTGGGTCACACGGAGTGGACATATCCTGATACCTTGTATCCCTAAACTTTTTGGTCTCTGGTATGGTGGAGGGGCGTTCTGTGGTAAGGTTAGCTATCCTAGATTACTACAGATTGTTAATTAACATTGTAAACTACATCAAAATCTAATAAAGAATTCCTTTGGGCAGAGCTTCCAGAAACCATATTCTAATGTCAGCCTCAAAAGTAATGGCTATATGTGAAATACTAGATAAGAGTCTATGTGTGTCTCAGTTGCCTCTTTTAGTAAATACATCAATCTCTACTGATGTCCTGCTGTTAATACTAAATGAGATCAAGCATACATGACACTTTGAGAAGAATAAGGCATATACTCTATATTTGAGCTGGATAACTTATTTTATGATAAACGCAGAAAGAGCCTCAGACAAGGCACCTATGTGAAGCATATTCCACGAGAAAAGTAAATCTTGAGGCTTGGTGCCTACATTTATTCGTGGGAGATGCAGGAGAGGGAGGAGGAGTGCAGGAAATGGGAACAGGACTAAATGAAATAAAATAGTAGCAAAAAAGATCAAGGATTCTTCTTATGTGAGCCTCTTAAACATTACCTTGGATTGTACTTCCGTTTTCTATGTTAAAATAAAATGGATCTTCAAGGGGACATTTCTTCCTTAACGACGTAGATATTCATATCAATGTCTCTTCTCCCTTATTTGCTTACAAACTCCTTGAGAATAGATGCCATGTCTATATTTTCTACCTGTGTAATACACAGCATAGAGCTTTGTATACACAGACAAAAAAATCTAGTGAGTGAATACTATCTGTCGATTTTCCAGTGTTATATGGAGATGAAGCTCTGTTCACACGTTATCAATGACAGCTGTGGCAGCAGATAATAAGAGAATGGACAAGCAGCACAGGGGGTTATGGCTTCCATTGCCAAAGAACTGCTTTGAAAGACAAAAAAAATTAGTAGCTGCCTAAAAATTCATTATTTACATCTGGCCAACCAAGCTTCTGTGAATTAAAAAAATAAAAAAATCACTGGCAAAGTATATACACTTCAACAAGGGCGCCTAAGTTTCATCATCTGCAGGACACAGATGCCAGTTTTTAAATATTTTTTTAAATACAGCCTGTGATGTAATTATGGATGTAAAATTATATCTCCTAGCTCAAAGAGAACTGTTGAAAGAACAGCAGCTGCTTTGTTTGTTGAGAATCTCAGTATCATTATTTTTATGGGATGCTTCAGAGAAACACTAATTTGTGAAAGAAAAGCATCCCAGAAGGCAAATTTGACAGTTTAAATTCTCACGCTTACCGTGTTTGGAGGATCATAATTAATTGAAAGATAATGAAAAGCTGAATACAGCTTTGTTCAACTTCTTCATGGAGCCAATGAAGTGATTCAGAATTAAATTTTCAAAATCTGAAAGAAGAAAGCATGCTATGCTTTAGACAGAAAAACATGAGGTGGCTGAGAGATTATGAAATGCTGATGGGCATCCCAACAGCATTCTAATACAGTTTCAGCTGGATTGAGACTGTAAGAATAAGCAAAATCCCTTCCCACACTGATAAACACATACTTGTATATGGCATTCCATTTTTGAGGCAGACTTAAATAGTATGCTAGTTTATTATTGTCTGGAAAGTGAAGCCAATGAAAAACTGCCAATTTGGCCCTTATAAGGAAATCAAAACCTAATCTTGTCTCAAAGTCAATCATTTTTGCTAGGTTTAATAACTAAACCAATTTGTGGGCAAACCTTAAGAAATGGAATCTTAAGAAATGGAAAACTCTGGAGGAGTTTCAAGAACAAAGTGTAGCTCCAATTAAAATCTAAGAAGAACCATGAACTTGAGAACCTAGATTCCATAGTGCATACATGTTAAGTTGCTTTAGTCATGTTCGACTCTTTGTGCCCTGTGGACTGAACCCTTCCAGGGCCCTCTGTTTTGGGATTCTCCAGGCAAGAACACTGGAGTGGGTTGCCATTTCCTCCTCCAGCGGATCTTCCTTATGCAAGAATCCAACCTGCGTCTTTTACGTCTGCCTGCTTTAGCAGGTGGGTTCTTTACTATTAGCACCATCTGGAAGCCCCCTATACACACCTAGTACCTGGCAAAAAGAAGGTGATGGAAAACCATGAATGAGTAAGTTCAGTGAATGAGTAAGTAAATGAAGAGAGATACTTCCCCAACCTCTATGGAGATCAATTCTTTTTTATGAAAACAATTTTATATAGTCAATCTAGGTGTAGAATGTAATTTATATTAACTTTCTACCTATTTTCTAATATAGTCTGGGAATTAATTCATCCAGTATAGATAACATTTTAAAAAGAAATGCCATTTTGAGTTTTAAATAATCAATTTTAAATGGGGTTTTATAAATATTAATCATTGTAATAACTGTCACTTTATTACTCTGCCATGCCTTGTACATGTATCATCTCTTTTGTATTTACAAAGAACCAACAAGGTTAGTTTTAGCAACCCATTTTCTAAAGGGAACAAAGGCTCAGAATGCTAAATCACATGCTCAAAACTACACAGCTAGTAAAAGGCAGAACCAGGAGTCACAAACAGTCCAATTCTAAGGCTCACCATCTTAATCTCTAAATTGTCTTATGAACAGTTAATGAACATTTTAAACTTTGAGACACAAACCCCTTTCACAATATAGATCCCTTCCTGAGACTAAATATGCATCTGTACATTGACAGGTAAGTTCTAGAACATGGAGACATACATGGGGCAAACCCCATCCCCATATAAATGCTGGACTTAGNACAAGAGACAAGGAAGAGACACTACATAATGATCAAGGGATCAACCCATGAAGAAGATATAACAATTTAAAATATCTATGTAACCAACACAGCAGCACCTCAATACATAGAACAAGTGCTGATAGCCATGAAAGCAGAAATCAACAGCAACACAATAATAGTGAGGGACTTTAATACCCTACTTATACCAATGGACACATCATCTAGAGAAAAAATTAAGAAACATAAGCTTTAACATGACACAATGAACCAGATAGACTTAATTGACATTTATAGGACATTCCATCTGAAAACAGCAGAATACACTTTTCAAGTGCACAAGAACATTCTCCAGGACGGATCACATCTTGAGTCACAAATCAAGTCTTGGCAAATTTAAGAAATCTGAAATTGAATCAAGCATCTTTTCCAACCACAACACTATGAGATTAGAAATCAATTACAGAAAAAAAACTGTAAAAAATTACAAACAAACAATACACTACTAAATAACCAAGAGATCACTGAAGAAATCAAAGAGAAAAAAAAAAATACACAGAAACAAATGACAATGAAAACACAGTGACCCAAAGCCTATGGGAGGCAACAAAAGCAGTTCTAAGAGGGAAATTGACAGCAATACAATCCTAACTCAAGAAACAAGGAGGGGATATACGCATACATATATCTGATTCGTGTTATTGTATAGTAGAAACTAACACAGCATTGTAAAGCAACTATACCCCGTTAAAAAACAGACAGTTATCTCTTAGAGGAATTAAAATGAGAAAAACTTTATACTACCTTGCCTTAGTCCATTTCCCATACTCTTCACTTCTTGACGTGGATACAGGTTTATGGTTGGTCTCATAATTCTTTTTTGTCTGAGGAACTTCCTGAATTTTGTATATATTTTGAAGGTAGAGTCACTGAGACTTCTAGACATATTAGATGTACCCTATGAGAGAAAGCAAAGTCAATATGACCCCAATGCTGATAAATCACAATAATAATAGCATCAAATGATTTTTTGCATACATTTAGGAAGAGACACTAGGGTGAAAAAAAATTCAACTCTAAAGAATACAACTTGATACACCTAGTGTATTATTTTATAATCTGATATGTGCCATGGATTTTTCTGCCCCTCAAAGTTCCAAAGAAAGTGAAGTTGCTCAGTTGTGTCCGACTCTTAGCAACCCCATGGACTGTAGCCAACCAGGCTCCTCCATCCATGGAATTTTCTAGGCAAGAGTACTGGAGTGGGTTGCCATTGCCTTCTCCAGGGGATCTTCCTGGCCCAGGGGTTGAACCCGGGTCTCCCGCATTGCAGGCAGACACTTTACCCTCTGAGCCACCAGGGAAGTCTTCCAGTTTCAAAGACCTGTAGAAATCCCAAGGAGGGACCACAGACACTACACTCTTTCCTCCTTGTCCACCTGGATGCAAAACTCAATCTTTCCTTCACAAAACAAAACTTCTCTTCACCAGTTTCAACAAGAAATCTGCTCCTCCCATGTTTACCGGGTCTCCTCACCTTTCGTTTACTTTCTCACGCAGTCTTTGTTCCCTCTCTATGAAACTGCTTTCTGCGAATTTTGAATTCTTATTTTGTGTAGAATATAAGGATCTCCTGCCCTCAGCACTCGATACATAAAACCCCTTAGGGAGGTTATCAGAATAAAGGAGGTATCAGAACCTGCCTTTCTTAGGAAGTTAGGTTTATAAATACACAATACTCTCCTAAGGAAAATTCCCCCAGAATTTGCATGCAGGAGGTTTAGCAGCAGTGCTCTTGAAAACAGAAGTGCTCTTTGCCAGGGAAGTGAATTGTGCAGAGGTAGGATTTGAAATGGTTGAAACAGCAGCCTCAGCCACTGCCACAGAGATCCCTCAAGGCTAAGATGATCCTACAATGGAATTAGAATGTCCCGCATTAAGGAATGTGGCCCCACAACAATCAATCATCGTATATGGCTGCCCCCAGGAACTGGGGATCAGAGACTTGAGCAAGGCAGTTTCCTTCAGCTGAGGGCAATTCCCAGAGCTGGAGGCACCTGTAAATAACCAGCAGCCAACAGCATAGGGGATCATGAAGCCTTAACCAGGAAAGGGCATCTAGGAGGTGTCCAAACGCATCCACTACAATCCTTCCCATGTCATTTAGTTCTACTTGCTTCATGTCGTATATTCCCTCAACAAGGGAACAACTTCTCCAGGAATACCATTCACCTCCTTTCCAGGGAAAACTTTTAGAAGTTTAGTGGGACAGGCTACAGTGTCAGCCTTCTTCTCCCTTTCTCCCTCTTCCCCTGCCCTCAGCCCTACAACTATATTCAAGACCATACCTGATATTTATAGTCTCCCTCATCTCTTAACCTCATATACTAGAATCCACCCACCCTTGACTGCCACTGGGCAGTCAGCTGGTCTCCAGCACTTACCTGGTGGGATGACCCAGTCCAGACCCCCCAGTCCCCATTTCTGAGGGGGATCTGGGCTCATAGTTGCTGTGCCCTTTTCAGGATACGGCTTCTGCACAAGCGCATTTACCATTAAAATTGGTTAGAGAAATACCAAGAGCCCACTTCCCTTCACCTCCTTTCCTAAGCAGATCACTTGGGTGCCAAATCTACTTTTCCCTGATCCTACTATGTAATTTAGGGCTTCCCTGGTGGATCAGATGGTAAAGAATCTGCCGGCAATGCAGGAGGTATGGGTTTGATCCCTGGGTTGGGAAGATCCCCTGGAGAAGGAAATAGCCACACGCTCCAGTATTCTTGCCTGGGAAATCCCATGGACAGAGGCACATGGCAGGCTACAGTCCATGGTGTTGCAAGAGTTGGACACGACTGAGCAACTAAATGACGACATTATGTAATATGTGACAGCAGTCCTGCCTTCTAATTATTGTTGCTGTTCAGGTGCCCAGTTGTGTCTGACTCTTTGTCAGAGTCAGGTACCCCTGCCAGAACTGTCGATCCCTATTTTGCTTACTGGCACAAAGAACCAAAAGTAACCATGTGACAGTCATAGCTGAAGTTTAATGGGACTCCTGTGGAGGAATTCCCAGGAATTCCCCTGGGAATTAAGTCCATTAAAACCTTACAGCACTGTGGGGATGGGAAGAACAATTTTCCCAAATGGGTCACTGGAAGTGATAGTTAAGCACAGACCCTTCTTGTAACCCGTAGTTCCCAGACCCATGTATTTCCCTTGGGGAACACAGTATCACATAACAGTTGGTGATATAGGGTGTGCTGTTTATTCTGGAGGATGAAGGTATATACCACATTCTGGGACAGTATAATTTCCAACTTCCCACCTTTGGCGTATATCTTCAAAAAGCCATTCTATCGCTCTATCAGGCTGGCCGAATCAGAGTGGTAAAATGCGATAGACCAGTGGATCTCATGGTTAGGTGCCTGCTGTCACACCTCATTTGCTTTAAAGTGCACTACTTGGTCCAAAGCAATTTATGCAGGATCACATATTGGTATATCAAACATTTTGTTTGCTCTTGGATAACGGTGCAGCCAATGGGCCTAATGAGCAGGAAAGGCAATCACATAGAGAACATCAAACTAAACTTCCTCTCAAAATTTCACAGACACAGTGTAACCAACGTTGTCTAGTTGGTCCCCTTGAGGCATGGGGCCATACTAGAGGGAAGGATTAGTCTTGCTGCTGGCTGGTTAAATGATTGGTCTGCCCTGGTGAGTGGTGGTACATGTTGCTGGGCTCATGCTATGTAGCCTGTCTCTGTAGCTTCTCCTGTGTAAACCCTCTGTGCAACACTGCAGTGACTTTCAACAAAGACTGGCTAAGTTCTACTGCACGGTTATTTAGTATCCCTTCTGCAGTGGTTTCTCTCTGTCAGCATTAAAACTATTAATTAATTAATTAATTTGCTGTTCCAGGTCTCTTAGTTGCAGCTCATGGGATATTTAATTGGTTGCATTCAAACTCTTAGTTGTGACAGGTGGGATCTAGTTCCCTGACCAGGGATTGAACCTGGGCCCCTTGCATTGGGAACATGGAGTCTTAGCCACTGGATCCCATGGAAGTCCCCTCTGGTGGACACTTTGATGTGAAACAGACATTCACACTTCATGTCTATGTTTATATGTCAATTCACATGCCTCTTTTTCAAACCTCTTTTTCTCACTCTTCATCCTTCCAAGCCCCTGAACAACTAGGCAAACCATGCTAATGAGCCCATGAGTAATCTTACAATCTACTTCTCTTCTGACACAAAGCAGATAATCACCCACACACACAATCCTCTGCTAATGGCGAGACTGTCTCTCACTGCTGTCTTTCAAGGTCACCCTGAGCGAAGCTTTTGGGCAAGAGTCCAAATTATGTATCAGTTGTCTACTGTGATGTAACAAACCACCCCAAAACCAAGTACTTTAAAACAACAGCAGCTTATTATTTCTTAAAACAAGATGACAAACATGGCCAAGGATGGAGACAAATTAAGTGGAATGAAGATGAGTCATAAAATGAAGATGTCTAGAATGCGATCATGATACTGTCAACAAACAAGGCAGGACATGAAACAGAGACTGAACTAGACAATACAGTTTAAGTGTAGGAGATAAACTAGAAACAACCTTTAAACTTCTCACTAAACAAAACCAGAATTCCTTACCTTTGCTTCAGGCTTCTTCTCACTTTCGACTCTCATTTCTTGTTAAATACCCTCTTTTGCTGCTATTTGAAGTAATTGTGAGGAACCGCCCTTCCATTCCCTGCCTTTATGCTGTTCCTTCAACAATGCAGCCTCCCTGTAGTTTCTCTGGTAAGCTTCCTCATGGAGGCTCGATTTGTTTATGTACATCCTCACTGCAGAAAAAGAACTTGAGTTGAATCAGAAAAGGTAATTAATTATTTCACAAAGGGCTAGGGCATGAGGGGGCAGGAGGGAAGCACCAGCCTGGTGGTCCAGTGGTTAAGCATCAGCCTTGCGATGCAGGGGTTTCATCCCTGCTTGGGGAAGATCCTACATGCCACCGGAAGGGCTTAAGCCAGAGCCCCACAACTACGCCTGCGCTGTGGAGCCCGTGAGCCGCAGCTCCCGAGCACACGTGCAGCGCTACTGAAGGCCCCATGCCCTAAAGCGCCTGCCCTGCAACAGAGAAGCCGGTGCAACGAGAAGCAACTAGAGGGTGGCCCCTGCTCCCCACAACTAGAGAAAGTCCGCGCACAGCAATAAAGATCCGGTGCAGCCAATAAATACATAAACTTTCTTCCCCAGCACCCACTGAAATCCTTAGCGGCAGGGCCCACTGCTTAATGGCCTTCATGCGGCTGTACAAAGTACCTCCAGGTGTTTAAAGTTTGATGACTGAATGACTCAGCACCTTCACACTTAGGCCATACAGCCTTGTGAGATACTTTGTAGTCATTTATCATTTCTGTAAGTTAAAATCTTTGAAGTCAGAAACCTGTTCATAATTTTGCTTTTCCTAGCATGTAGTCAAGTGTCTTGACACTGAGTTTTAGCAGCAAAATATTTCATTGGTTATGAGGATTATCACTAATCAAGGACATGTGAAAAGGGAAGGTGATTTGTGAGTGACAAGTACAGCCTCAGTGGATTCCACAAATCCACCTGTGAAGGTGGAATGGCCCTTTAGAGATGTCTTGAAACGAAGTAAGCAGGACAAGCCTTTGTACTCTGCGGGACCCAGACACTGAACGTGTGCTGCAGCCCAGGAAGAGGGCAGCATTGTGGGTGAGGCAGCTTTCTTGAGCCAGGGGCAATGCCTAAAGGATGCAGCTGTGAACGGTCAGCATCCAAAATTCCAATCAATGTAGGTAAGTTGGTCCTAGAAGCAAACGTTGGTGGTGCACAGTAGCATCCAATACAGCATCCTGAGGTATAAATGAAAAGACAAGACTGAATTCACTTTTGGCTCCCAAGATTCAAACTCTTCTGTGAGCCCAAATAACTCCTTTTTTTTTTTTCCTTTGAGGATTTGAGTTGGCACCTGAGCTACTTATTTTTGACTCTGCCCTGTCACTTGGATACTAGGAAGTTTTCTCACACTCACTTACACAGTGCTAGTCACTCACGCCAACACCGCCACTGCCCAGGCCTAACCAGGAAGTCTTCCTGCACCAGCAGACATTTCTGTGGCATGTGGCTT